TAACTGTATCATAAAAGAGACAAGAGTCTTCCTTTTAACCTCAGACCTGAGGTTTTTCTGTGTGTGCACTATCTAAGAGAGGAAGCAGACAAGATATACTCTGGTTGTCCAGCTATTTTGCTCAACATAATGGCTTCAGTATTCATCTGTGCTGTTTGGTGTATAAAAGGTTATAATTTTCATTGCTATCAATATTTTCATTTAACGAACATACCACATTTTGTTCACTTATTCACAGGGGGATGAGTGCTTGGAATCTATGCATTTCTGCTATGGTCAGATTTGAGGCCTTGGATGTGCCTATGAACATATTTCTGTCACAGGCATTCTCAGGAATCAAAGGGTTACATCAAAATTACATTTGTAGAGCTGCTATTGTGGAGTAGCAGGTTAAGCCTCTGTCTGTGACACTAGCATCTCATAAAAGCACTGGTTCGAGTCTTGGCTGCTCCACTTCTGATCCAGCTCCCTGTTCATGCACCTGGGAAAGCAGCAAAGGAAAGCCCAAGTGCTTGGGCCCCTGCACCTATGTGAGAGACCCAGAAGAAGCTCTGGGCTCCTAGCTTCACCCTGGGCCAGCCCTGGGCATTGCAGCCATTTGGGGAGAGAGTCAGTGGATGGAAGATCTCTTTCTTTCTGTCTCCTCCTCTATCATTCTGCCTTTAAAAAATGTTAAAAAAAATACATTAGTCACATTGGCAAAGATTAAAAAACATTTTTTATGACAGGCAGAGTGGACAATGAGAGAGAGAGACAGGGAGAAAGATCTTCCTTTACCTTTGGTTCACCCTCCAATGGCCGCTGCAGCCGGCGAGCTGCGGCCAGCACACCGCGCTGATCCGAAGCGAGGAGCCATGTGCTTCTCCTGGTCTCCCATGCGGGTGCAGGGTCCAAGGACTTGGGCCATCCTCCACTGTACTTCTGGGTCACAGCGGAGAGCTGGCCTGGAAGAGGGGCAACCGGGACAGAATCCGCTGCCCTGACCAGGACTAGAACCTGGTGTGCCGGAGCCACAAGGCGGAGGATTAGCCTATTGAGCCATGGCGCCGGCCAAAAAACATTTTTCCAAAGTGTGCTTTAAATCATCACCCAACTTGCAACCATTTCTAAAACATAAATAGCTTTAGTTCCTGAAACAGAAATAGTTTTAAGGGGGGTATTACTAGTCTGAAACAATTCATGTATATTTAATGATTTTACTTCCTCATACTCAGTAGGTCTTCATGTTTGAAAACAATGCATGTATTAAAAAGTAGCAAAATGATATATAGACCAATCTTTATTGTGCATAGAAATTTCTGGTTCAACTCGTTCTGTAAGCACCCTGGGTTATCCCAGTTTTCATCACAAAACAAAATAAAACAAAACCATCCTGAGCAGGCTATTTATGAGGAAAAGAAGTTTATTTGGTGTACACTTTTGGAGGTGCACAGTTTTGGAAGTTCATAAGCCTGGTGCTGCTTTGGCTCAGCTCTAGTGAGAGTCCTTGCAGCAGCATGCCATCGTGTCAAACAGCAGTGACGAGAATCATGGAAAGGGCCTGGCTTGCTCACTTTATAAAAACCCTCTCCTGAGAACTAACCCAGAGAAATAACTTAATCCTTCTGAGGGAATGGCCCCAGTGACCTAAGGACTTCCTACTAGGGATCCATATTGTGGCGCAAAGGGCTAAGCCTCTGCCTGCAACGCTGCCATCCCATATGAACACAGGCTGCTCCACTTTTGATTCTCCTTTCTTCCTGTTAATGTGCCTGGGAAAGCAGTGGAAGATGTGCACGGACCCTATGACCCGTGTGGGAGGCCCAGATGGAATCTGTGCAGACTTGACTATTGTGGCCATTTGGCAAATGAATCAGTAGATGGAAGTTTCTCTCTCTCTCTCTCTCTCTCTCTCTCTCTGTCAAATAAATAAAATAAGTGTATTTTTTTTTTTTTTAAAAAGGACCTCTTACTAGATCCTACCTCTTTAAGGTTACACTGAAGATCAAGTCTCCCACTCCCACACATGGATTCTTGGAGTGCAAACCACATCCAAACCACAGAAAACCTCAGGAAGAGGAAAAGCAGACAGAAAGCATGGAGAGAAGAGGAGGAGGAGGGCAAGGTAGCTGAAGGAACAGAGGAGCAAGTCAGGGATAAAGGGTGTGGATTTCGCCATACTTGAGTGAAATGTGCCAGGCAGTCACAAGAATAAGCACTATGGTAAATACAAAAACTCTCCTGTTTGGGTTCCTGAATTCACATGGAAGACTCAGGTTGAGTTCTCAGCTCTAAATTTGGGCCTAGTCCTGGCTGTTAATGGAATTTGGGCAGGAAAACACAGTATATCCATGGCAACCCATTCTGTCTCCCTATTTGTCTCTCTCTTGTTTTCAGTCTCCCTCCTTCTCAAATAAATAAAATGTAAATATACAAAAACAAATTCATATAACAAATAACTATCTTCATGTAATAATTTCTTGGAATTTTTCTATTATTCACAGAAGAATGTAAATTTACCTGTCATAGTTCCTACACGTGGAAAGTAGAAATGATACCATATTCATCTCTGTATCCTCCGAAAGGAAATAAAATATGAGCAGTGGTTTCTTTTTTTTTTTTTTTTTTTTTTTTTACAGGCAGAGTGGACAGTGAGAGAGAGAGACAGAGAGAAAGGTCTTCCTTTTGCCGTTGGCTCACCTTCCATTGGTCGCGCGGCCCGCCGAATCTGGCTGATCCGATGGCAGGAGCCAGGTGTTTCTCCTGGTCTCCCATGGGGTGCAGGGCCCAAGGACTTGGTCCATCCTCCACTGCACTCCCTGGCCAGAGCTGGCCTGGAAGAGGGGCAACCGGGACAGAATCCGGCACCCCAACCGGGACTAGAACCCGGTGTGCTGGCGCCGCAAGGCGGAGGATTAGCCTAGTGAGCTGCGGCGCCGGATGTGAGCAGTGGTTTCAGTTACAATAAAATCCCTGTGCACAGACATGGTACAGAGCTCAACCAATTAGGAATGTGTTGCTGCATGCACACAGCCAGGTGTCATTCAAGGGTGTATCTCTGTCCCTGAATCCAAAGGCTTTTCAGACATCATTTTGGTTGTCATCTAGTCATGATTTTGCCTTGTCATCGGACAGAGCCACACCTACTGGTGCTCAGGGAATTGCTCTATTGTCCTCAGACTTGTTCCCATTCCCTACAACACCCCAGAAACTTGCCGAAGCACAGAAAGTGCAGTGATGTGGGAAAACACATCAGGTAGATAGTTCATGAGCTGGAGACCATACCTCCCGGCCCCCATGTGATCCCACTTGTATCCACCCACCTGTCAATCAGAGTATGTAAGCACTCCCCTGTTGGAAGGGAGTAAGAAGCCTGGGGAGCTCTGGGCTCTCTCTCTCTCTCTGGCTTGCTGCCTCTCTCTCCTGGTGGGCCCAGAGAAAGACTGGTATGGAGGTCCCTGTTTACCCTTCCTGGCCCTCTCTCCCTTAATAAAGCCCTGGTGTTCCTGTGTATTCTGCTCACTTTCTAAACAAACCTTATCATGCTGCATGGTGTGTTTGAGGCCTTACTTAGAATTCTTCTCTAAGTAAAAGACAAGATCTGGAAATAGAAGTTTGAGGCTAACCCAGCCCACAACAGCAGTAATACTCTGTAGCCACCCAGCAAGACTGAACTGATGGCAGAAGGTGTGCATGCTTGGGGGAGAGGCAAGAAAGATGCTTAGCCAGCTGCTATTGCAATACTATACACCATAATCCTGGATATGTGAATGGTTTGTAAAAATTCACGTTTATTTTTTGTGAAGTAACTCAAATTTGCCACAGAATTCGGATCCAGATTTAAGGTTAGTTTAAATTCTATTTTTGTGTTCTTTTCATCTGGGATGAATTTAAAGAAGCAATCCCTTTGAGCAGTTTGTATCCTCATTGTGGATGCAAATGCACAGGCAGGCTGGTGAGACTCTGAAAGGTCTTCACAAATGCTTTCTCTTCCACTGGCATTTCATTTGCAAAGCAAGTCACATGGTCAACCTCATAAACACAGTGGGGAAATACCTATGAGAGAAGAGGCAAGAGTGAATAACCATGAATAATCACATCTACTACACTGGCAAATTGACCTAACCAGAAGCAGAGTTATGACATGTGTATACAATTGGTGATGGACTATAACACATTGTGTGGTCAGGGTTAATACTGACTGGTACATATGAGTGTACCTTTGCTTTTATCATATGCATACTATCTCTAAAGCCAAAGGTAGCACTCATTTCCTTAGCACGATTTAAGGTAAATACCACCGCCCTTTATGGGGATGGAGGGAAATAAATGCTGACTTTATGAAGATGCCTGCCCTCTCTAATGGAGCTGAGAGGTGCGCTGAGAACTGACCTGACAGCAGGTCCCTGCTATTTTGAAAACTTCAGTCTCATTCCTTGAGAGAGAGCAGACTGGAGCTAAGCTAAAAATCAGATGGTGAAGCCTTGCGTAGATGAATCTGTCCTTTAAAAAAATGGGAATTTCGGGCATTTGGAGTAGTGAGAGCTGAGCCACCTTCAGCTTACCTGAGCCACCCGCACAGGGCTGCGCATGCGTGAAGGGGCCCTTTCTGAGGTCTGCCTGGAGCCCAGGGTGCTTGCCTGTGTGTCCTCAGCAATCCCCAGCAGCAGCCAGAGCAGGCGCCCCCTCCAGCGATCCCACTGATGGACTTCGGAGGATGTGGCGCTTGTCCCTGCCAGGCTCCTGTGCAAGTCCCTGGGCCTGTTCTCCAGGGCAGTCAGCTTGCCCAGGAGTGTGCGGTGTAACCCAGGCAGTGCCATCAGGGATGCCACACAGCAGTGGTGTGGCACGGGTGGCTCCTGATTCAAGCATGGCCGAGTGGACACAGGGATGGCTCTCTGTCTGTGAGGAGAGGGGCGCAGAAGTTCAGAAACTGGCCGGGATCCGCGGACTTTCCTGGGTTTCCTGACACTTTGCAAACCACGCAACTATGGAATGTGGTTTTGGTTTCAGTTTCCGTTCTCCTCCTCTCTGCCCTATTTCAGAGGTCGGATAGGCTTTGTTTCCCAGCTCAACAGTGGGTTTCCGAGGAGCCAGATGAGAAGCAGACCTCAAGAGGTGTGTGCGGGCAGCAGAGAACTTGGCCTTGACTGAGGCGCCCAGACCCGGTGAGTGCGCGCCGGCGCTTGGTTGTCCTTGCCCCTTCCCTTCACTGACAGCGACCACAACGGATTCCTAGCGCAGGCTGGGCGCGGGCGGTAGGCACGGACAGCGAGAGGACGGCGCCGGGACCTGGGCGGGTGTCTTGCGAGCGCTTTCTCCTGGCGGCTCAGCGTCTCTGCGGGGTGTAGAGGCGGCGGCGGCTCGCCGGGTGTCCCTCGCACGCGCTGCTCCTGCTCCGGCTTCCTCCAGGGGCTGCAGTCCAGCCGCGCGCCGGGCGCGGAGGAGGGATGGATCCCCCTCTCTTTAGCGCACAGGGACCCAGATCCAGCCCCTGGCAGAGGCGCTGCTGTGGAGTCCCTCCCTCCTGCCTCCCTTCTCCTGTGTGCACACCTCTCCTGGCTGTCCCCTGCTGGACCTTGAGAAACAGAGAAAAGATCCTTATCTTAGACAAGTTAAATCCTTGAAGTTTCACTTGATTTTTTTTTTTAAAACCACATTTAATATTCCAAAGAGACCACAAAGTTAAATTTCATGGAATCCTAATCTCACTTTCACTAATCAACTGTTTGAATAACTGTGGTCTAATCACACGCGCGTAAGTACACTTTTAGAGTGCACAGTGCTTACAAGAACTGCATCAGAGTGATCCGAGGGACTTGTGAGAAGTTCCTAATTCAGGCATTTGCAGCCCTCAGCCCACGTGACCCTGCTGGATAGTAACCTTTGGAAACCATTGGTCTACAGCCATCTAACAGAGCTGTTTTCTCCACCTGTTACTTGGTGTTGCAAGTTTCCTGATTTGTGCTCTATTGTATATTTGTGCAGTGTTTTATCTACCCTTCATCTGGACGGACTCTTACGTTTCCGTGTACTGGTTATTGTGAACAGTACAGCAGATGTCCCTTCAACACGCTGGCTTCATTTCCCTTGCATATATACCCAGTGATGGAATTGCTACATCAGATGGCAGTTCTCCTTGCAGTTTTTTGAAGAACTTCCAAACTGTTTTCCACAATGACTGTCCTAATTTACATTCCCACCTACAAAAGGCAAGGACTCCCCTTTCTCCACTTGTTGGCCAGCACTTGTTATCTTTTGTGTTTTGATAATACTCCATCTAACTGGAGTGAGGTGATGGCTCTTGGTGGTTTTTGATGTGCATTTCCCATGGTTCTTAGTGAGGAGGTTGAGCTTTCTCCATGTGTCTGATGAAATCTTGTCATCTGCAACAACATGGTTGGGACTGGAGGTGATTATGTTATGTGAAATAAGCTAAGGACAGAAAGACAAGCCCATCATGATTTCACTTACATATGGAATCTTAAAGTATCATCTCATAGAAGTTGAGAGTATCATTTCTAGAGACTGGGAGCTGAGCAGGTAGGAAGGCATGGGGAAAGGTAATTTAACAGATGGAACATTATGGTTGGATAAGAGTAAGAAGTTCTGGTGTCTGTTAAACATAGGGTCACTACAGGTAGAAATATACTATATATTTTTCTTAAAAACAGAATAATCTAGAAGAAAAAATTTTGAGTGCTTTATCCATTAAGAAATGATAAATGTTTGAGGAGGTATGTATGTTTAACTTGATTGGCCATTATACAATGTATACATGTATCAACATATCACAAGGCACCCCAAACTTGTATAATTTTAAAAAAGCTTTATTTATTTGAAATGCAGAGGGACAGAGAGATAAAAGGAAAGAGAGAGAAAGAGAGAGAGAGAGATTTCCATCAGTGAGATCACTCCTCAAATGCCTGCAATAGCCTGTTTAACCTGGGGCACCACAACATACATCCCAAATATGTACAATTTTTGTGTCAGTTAAGCATTTGAAAAAATAAAAAAATTCTTGATTTGAATAATTAGAATGTTTTGCATTAAAGAAAGAAACAAAGGAAACATTGTAAACTAATCTATGCCTACCCCAAATCAAAATTTACATTCTGAGAAAAATATTCTATAATTCCTCTGGTTTATTACACAGCAATAAAAACCTCATGTTTCACTGCTCTGCTTCTGCTCCCAACCACCTATAAAAAAGAAAAGAAATTTAAGGAAAATGTTGTTAAAAAACAAATTGATGCTTTTATCTAGCAGAGATCCTGGATATTTATAATTTCTTGATAATTTTCTGCTTAGAGAACATATAGGTACATATTAGTACATTTGTTTGTTCATTGTATGAAAAGTATTTTAATTATGGAAATTAAAAATTTCTCCTTGAGAACATTTTTCTCAGCGTTATTTTACTGAATCAGGCAGTGATTAAAATCATGATATTCCTATCACTGATAGGAAAGTCCAGGCTCACACAGGAGAGTCGTTTTCAAGATCACCAGACGATGAGTGACTTGTACTCCAGGGTTTGAACCCTTGAAGTCCAAGTCTAGCATTGTGCTTTGACATCCCAAGACATCTCTAGAGTCCCCTTGCTTGATTCATTCTCCCTCTGTCATCCCTTCTAACTGGGTGCTCCTGCCTGTTAATCCTTGCTTGCTGGAGCCTTGGGGAGCTGTGTCACTGTTTCTGTACAAAGCCAGTCCTTCACCTTCCTTTAGGAATTATACCATCTGCCTTCTCAGGAACTATTTTTAAGCTTTGCTTATATAGGAATGATTACAATACAGAGATTTTAAGAGATATTTAATAATCACTGTATTTTTCCTTATTAGTATATCCATTTTATTGAAGGAGAACTAGAGGCACAGAGAAGTTAATAATATCTTTGGTGGTCACATAGGTAGTAAAGTTATATGAACATGCGAATGCTGCTTAGCATTGTTTTCAAGAAAGAAAGTGACAGTCCAAGCTGACTATTTTCTGAATCTGAGTTTCATGCTATGCTCTACTTATTACATTTCACCCAGGTGTGGGATTCTGTCAGATCTGGCCAGATCCTAGATACCCAGGCTCCTGAATCTCCTCCCTATCACCGATAGATATGAAGTATCTGTTTCCGACAGAATAAAGTATTGAAATACAAATAAAGTATTTGTCTAGTTACTCTGAGAAAAGCTGAGGTCTTCATCTCACTTCCATCTTTAATGGTCCTCCTCCATGCAGCCTGCTGTGCTCCCACGTATTTCTCAGTCTGTCTTCATCCGATTCATTCCTCCCTTTCTCGGGAGGTCCTCCTTGACTACCATATATGTGTGATTTAACCCCCAACCCTCCCCATTCCTCTTTCTCTGCTAATTTTCTTCTGAGAGCATACCATTATTTTAACATAGTTTGTTTTTATTTATTTTATGTATTTACTATCGTCCCTCACTAGAACAGACCTCCATGCAACAGGAATTTAAGTCAGTTTTGTTCACTGCTTGATACTGTGTACTTAGAACAAGGTACAGGACATAGCAGCTACCATGAAATATTTGGTGGATTAATGAGAGACATAGTTTTCCTGGAATGCCTTTACTGACCACTCTTTATCTCCTTATTATCATGTTCTGCCCCTACGTGTCTCAAATGTTTGTGTTCTTAGGGATCTGACATCAGCACTTTGCCTTTCTTGTTCTATTCTGAAAAAGCCTGGGCAAAGTTTTTTTGAGTTCTCGTAGAAATTGTCAAGTAAAATATGTAAGGCATCTGTGCTAGACCTTGACATGCTACGCAAAGTATTTTTTCGTTTAGAGATGTATAAAACATAGGAGATTGATATACACATTCCACAAGCAAAAAGCTCATGTGCATTTGTCCCCCAGAACCACTAGAGATGACTGCAGGATCCCATATTCCACTGAGTGGTTTTTCTGGGTTACAGGTTACCATGGCAACTGATATCACCATGAAGACCCCTATCTGTTTAGTGGAAAATTGGGAAGAGAAGCTGACAGTGAATCCCAAAGCACTGGAGATTCTTAACCAGATATCTCAGCCTGTGGTGGTGGTGGCCATTGTGGGATTGTATCGTACAGGAAAATCCTACCTCATGAATCGTCTGGCAGGACAGAACCATGGTGAGTGTGGGTCACAGTAGGGGTCAACAGTGACAACATAGGGTGGTCACTCCTTGTCTCCAGTCACTGTAAAGAAGAACATGACTCCTCCAAAGAAGAAACTTCTCATTCTCCCCTCCAAATGTACAACCTCAGCCATGCGTGTCCATTCTTTAGTCCATTACTGGAGAGTTCCCTCTTTCAAAAGATCCACTCCACTAGTCTTCCTTTTTGTTACATTTGTATAATTCATTTTTATTTATTGAAGGGCAGAGAGACACACAAAGAAGGAGAGATACAGAGACAGACAGAGATCTTCCATCCATTGGTTCAATCCCAAATACTCTCAACAGCTGAGGCTGGGGCAGGTCAAAGGCAGGAACCCAGAACCCCACCCAGGATTCACAGGCATCCTAGTACTTGTGTTGCCACTTGCTGCCCACCATCTACTAGGAAAAACAAAAAGAAAGAAATTTGCTTCCATTTCAGGTTCATGAGCAGGATCAGATTACCACTTCCTCTCTTTAGGTGTGACTCACTGTGTGTGCAATTTTTTTTTTTTTTATGAAGTAACTTTAAAAGGTTTGCAGAAAATAGAACCAAAAGGTAAGTTTATTTTTGTGCAAAAGTTTTTTTCAAATCCATGCATTTCAGAGATCTTCAAGATTCATGGAAACTGTATTATGAAAAAATACACAGGACTTTAATTTTTTTTGTGCTGAATTAAGTTACCATTTAATTCTGTTTTTCCACAAATTTTTGAAGTATCACTTCCATTCATACGCTGTCCTTTTTGCAAGTGGGATTACAGGGTGTTGGATTCATCCCTATTGATCAGGGAGCAATAAGATATTTCCACGGTGTAGGAAAGAGCAGACCATCTCAGACTATCCTCTCAGTGAGAGCATCCTGGGAGTCAAAGGGGATTGACCTGAACCATGCAGATGATGAACTTGGAGGTACCCAGTGACATCCATTTCTCTTGTCAGTTGAAGGAAGCATTGACATATGGCAGATGGTCAAAATCCAGGACTGCTGGATAGCAAATATCATCCACTGGTTCCTGGGCATGATCCTCGAATTATCTCCCTATGGGTTTCAGCCTTTGGAAAGCACAGCTCTCTTCTGCCTTTCCTTAATTTATATCTCCCTCCTGAGGCACAGAACACGGGATTCATCTTTAGCTTTAAGAAGAAAAAGCAGCCGGCGCCGTGGCTCACTAGGCTAATCCTCCGCCTAGCGGCGCCGGCATACCTGGTTCTAGTCCCGGTTGGGGCGCCGGATTCTGTCCCGGTTGCCCCTCTTCCAGGCCAGCTCTCTGCTGTGGCCCGGGAGTGCAGTGGAGGATGGCCCAAGTCCTTGGGCCCTGCACCCCATGGGAGACCAGGAAAAGCACCTGGCTCCTGGCTCCTGCCATCGGATCAGCGCGGTGCGCCGGCCGCAGCGCGCCGGCTGCGGCGGCCATTGGAGGGTGAACCAACGGCAAAGGAAGACCTTTCTCTCTGTCTCTCTCTCTCACTGTCCACTCTGCCTGTCCAAAAAAATAAATAAATAAATAAATATAAATAAATAAGGAGAGAAAGCAAAAGGTTAAAATGAGGAGGGAGAGATGGGATGAGTAAAATCACAAAAGCTATTGTATCAGTCTAAGTTCTGGCAGGACACACATGGCCTGCTCAGAAAATAAGTGAAGAGAGCTCAATGAGGGGACTACTTATAAGGGCATAGACTGTGTAAAAGGAACCCATAAGAGTGAAAAAGCACACATAGAATAGCAGTAACAACAGCCAGGTGGACATTACCACCCCTGCATCTAGGCAGACAAGCAAAGAGTAGATGCTGGGATTCGGTGAAGACCAGAACTGTTGCATGGAGCTGCGTGACCTGACAGAGAGGACTGAGCCACTGGGATGCTGAGGCCCAGCAAGGTGGAAGCAGAAGGAACACGTGCCTGCCTTCCTGTCTCCTGTGAGGCTTCCCACTGATGGAACCCTAGGAGAGGCTGGGATGTGAGAGAGCTCTTTAGTCTCACATAAAATGGCATAATAATTAGACTTATATTAATTCTATCATGTGGCATAGTTTGGGTCTTTGAAAGAATGCATTTTTCTTGAGAAAATCATATATATAAAAGTAGTTTTCATTGGTGAAATAGAAGTAACCCCTTTTATGACCAGCACTTACATTGCTGCAGGTTTAATGGGCATTTGGTCAGTCTGCTGTCAGGGTTTGTTATTCCTTTTCTCTTCAGGCTTCCCTCTGGGCTCCACGGTGCAATCTCAAACCAAAGGCATCTGGATGTGGTGCGTGCCCCACCCCTCCAAGCCAAACCACACCCTGGTCCTCCTGGACACTGAGGGCCTGGGTGATGTGGAAAAGGTAAGGCCTAGAATGTTCTCTACTCCCAATTTCCTCTTACAGTTTAACTTGGCACATCACTTCACCTTCTCTAACATAATTCTCTAAACTGCAAATCCAATAATGAGCAATGAAGTTAAGTTGCTTCCTCAGATTTCTTTAGTAACCTCATATTGTGATATATTATGGAGAAATATTATTATTTTTAATGCTGGCATAAATAATTTAATTTATTAAATATGAATGAACAAGTGAGTTCCAGGACACTGCACTAAGGACCACAGATATAACTGTAAATAGGGTAATGGGTAGATGCTAGTTGTAGAGACTACAATGTAATCTGGTCAGAGTACCACCAGTGCAAAAAGTGGAAAACAAATTTGATCATTTGAGTTAGGGAGAGCTTCCTGAGAAAGCTCTATTCTATTGGATCAATGGGCTCTACTGAAGTGTATGGTGTTGATGGTGTTGATGGAGTTGGAGGCACTGATTGTGAAAATAGACAATCGGTGATGAAATCTATTTATATCATCTTTAGAAAAACTGTTTATCATTACACAGTTTTTTAAACCAAGTCTCTGAACGTTGGAGATGAATCCTTCACTGACTTCTTTGAAAACATAAGGAAGATCCAAAAAACATGTTCAATCAAAATTTCCTCTTCATAAATGAGTCTGAGTATAAATTGAAAGAAGCAACAATAGATCTTTGGTTTCTCTTACTATAAAAGGATGGGAGGGACACACAGAAATTGTGAGCTTAAAAATTTAGTTTTAAAGACATTTATTATCTATGTATAACCAATATAGACTGTTGATTTTTTAATAAATCATGGCCTACACCAACCTTCTATTCATTTAATTACATTTGTTAAGGATCAAAGGATGCCAGAATATTAAGTGATGCAAGAGGTACTACTGGCTGACCCTTTGACTTGCACTGTGATAGGGTAAAGCCTTTCATAGCTTGAGGTGAATCTCATTTATCCTCCTCTTCCACTCCAGCATGTATACTCACTGCTTCCATAAGTGGGATCATTCTGTACTTCCCTGATGTGATTGGGAGCTGACAGTTCTAGCTTGCCTTCTGTTGGTTCTTTGCCTGCTTGATCCCTTCATGTCCACAAGTCCATTTTCTGCCTATCAACCGTTTAAAGCTGAGCTATTCTCTACTTGCTGCTATCATGCCCCAGTCACACAGAATCCTTTCTCACTCTGAATTCAGAACCATTGTTCATATACACAGGCCTCCCTCTCTCCACTATTATTTGTGAGTACAACTTTGGATTCCACTCATGGCAAGGATTCTAAGTTTGTTTACATTTATATGTTGGTCTGTTTGTGGCTCTAGAAAGTCATCCTCTTGAGGGTAGGGATTGTCATATGGGACTTCATATGCACAAAAACAAATGCAGGGTCTGACCCAGTGAACAGCTAATGAACTTAATTGCATAGGATGTGTACCCTTAGTATAGCCATTATTGAGAAAAACATTACAATGGAATATTTGTACACTTATTAGTTGACATGTGTTAAATACTTTATTAAATATTTTATGCATGTTGACACTGTCATTCATTTTTTTCATTAAACAAACTTAAGCCCTGCATGTTGTACATATCAAAAGACATTTTATTTTTAGCATTATGTTTAAAATTTGTTTTTAACCCAACTATTCAACTGTAGTACAGACAAAAGAGTGAATGAACAACCAAAACAATGAATGGATGAAGAGTACATGTCTAAGTCCCTTGCTCTATTGTCCTTTCTAGGGGGACCCCAAGAATGACTCGTGGATCTTTGCCCTGGCTGTGCTTCTGAGCAGTGCTTTTGTCTACAACAGCCTGGGCACCATCAACCACCAGGCCCTGGAGCAGCTGCAGTATCCTTGCAGAAACAGAGCCGCTGTATATCATTGAGTTTAGGACATGGCAGCTGAGACTGTTTCTTCTTTATGTGACTCAATTTTCCTGGTTGAATTAGAGTGGACCTAGGAATAAAGGGAATATTTGTCCAGATTTTTTTAAAGATTTATTTTATTTATTTGAAAGACAGAGTTACAGAGAGAGGTAGAGACAGAGAGAGAGGTCTTCCATCCACTGGTTCACTCCCCAGATGGCTGCAACGGCTGGAGCTGTGCCGATCCGAAGCCAGGAAGACACACACACACAGAGGGCTTCCATCCACTGGTTGACTCCCCAAATGGCTGCAATGGCCAAAGCCAGGAGCCAGGAGCTTCTTTGAGAAGCGAGGAGCTTTTTCCCAGAATATGGGTACAGGGGCCCAAGGACTTGGGCTACCTCTGCTGCTTTCCCAGGCTCATTAACAAGGAGCTGGATTGGAAGTGGAACAGCTGGGACTTGAACTGTTGCCTATATGGGATGCTGCAGGGCGGGGCTTTAACCTGCTGCACCACAGTGCCAGCCCCCCAACTTGCTTTCCAATGAGATCTGGAATTTGTAGTAGGATCTTTTCCCTTAACTAAGATCCCAGCTACGTAACTGAACTAACAGAGTTAATCAGGGCAAAATCTTCCCCAACATCTCATGAAGTAGAGGACTCCACAGAGTTTGTGAGCTTCTTTCCAGACTTCATTTGGGCTGTACGGGATTTCACCCTGGAGCTGAAGTTAAATGGACAGCCCATCACGGAAGACGAGTACCTTGAGAATGCCTTGAAGCTGATTCCAGGTATCAGAATGTACTCTGGGGATGACGAGTTCAGTAGCAAGGGGGAGATCAACAGAGCACTGTCCTATAGCATTTGAAATGAATATTTATTTGGGCCTGGATTAAGGCCCATGCTCATGGTGACTGGTGATTGGTGGTCATGATTTTAGCAGTTATTACTGAAAATTTTCAGAATTTGAGATTTACACTTGGTGAGGAGTTTTTTAATTTATAAATTTATTAATAAAAGAGAACAGATTTCATGAATTTGTTGGTGAGGAAATTCAGAGCTAAATGTTGTATCAAACAATTTTAGGCCAATCAATACAATGAAAAAAAGTGAGGATTACTGAAGAGTTAAAATTGTATATGTGTAGGTGTAAAAAGTTAAGCTTAAGCTTACAGGTTTAAACCTTCCTGGTGCAGCTGTGAAAATAAGACAGAGTGAAGTAGCACCTTGACAGTAGGGACTCCATTTTGGAGCACTTGAGACTCCATTCTGGGAAAGCACCCCCCACCCCCAACCGTGAGACTCTGGTCTGAAACTATGATCTCAAATAGTCAGACAATAGCAGTGTACTACATCACCCTTGGCAGAGCACAAAAACCCCCTAGCATGATTGCTCAAGCTTAAAAGTAGAAAGGTTGTACCTGGGTTACCTGGGCTAATAATGAAGATGTGATTTGTCTATGTCTTAAGATCATAATTGCTGATTGTAAGATTTTAGCAACCGTTTAGCAACCGTGTATTCTCTCCCCTCTCCCGATTTTGCGGTTTTTGCCTTTATAAACCCTATACTTTAGTTCCTCGAGGCTCCTCTGTTCTTGTATGTTCAGAGAGCCCCAACATGTTGGATCAATAAATCTTTAACCCTTTTCTGGTTGCATGAGAGAAAGTCTCTTGTTCCTCAGGCAGTGGGCATTTTCAGACCCTAACATTACCATCAATGCTATCACTCCTGAGACTCAACTATTTGTGTTACTTAATAAATTTAAGCATTTCTCTTACTCTATTTTGAGAAAAACAACTCAATTAGTTAGTAAATGCAGAATCACTTGAAAAAAATGACCTAATTCTTAAAATAAATTTCACTTGATTTGCTTTATTATCCTGACTGTTCCATTCTTCATAGGAGCATTTTTATATCTCAGTAGTAAAGGGGGAAATTGCTGCTGTGTGCCTCCAGCACTATGGTTGAATCCTTCAACTGGTCTTTTTCATAACACTATGTTCACCCTCCAGCCTTAGGCAATGTCTTATTATTTTAGTATTGCAATTTTATTACATTCCATTTAGAAGAGTAGAGAAGTGGCAGTTAGAGGGGCCATACATTTAGTTAATTATTTTATTCATTCTTTCAATAGGCAGTTACTTTTTTAAAGGTTTATTTTATTTATTTGAAAGAGTTACAGAAATACGGAGAGAGAGAGAGACAGAGCGAGAGCGAGAGCGAGAGCGAGAGAGAGAGAGAGAGAGAGAAATATTGTCCACCCGCTGGTTCACTCCCCAAATGGCTGCAAGGGCTGGAGCTGAGCTGATCCGAAGTCAGGAGCCAGGAGCTTCTTCTGGGTCTCCCACATGAATGCAGGGGCCCAAGGACTTGTGCCATCCTCTGTTGTTTTCCCAGGTGCATTAGCAGGGGGCTTGATTGAAAGTGGAGCAGCTGGGACTCCAGCTGGTGCCCATATGGGATTCTGGTGCTTCAGGCAGGGGCTTTAACCCACTGTGCCATAGCGCCGGCTCTGGCAGTTATTTTGAACAAAGTATATGCCTTGGAATCCCTCATCAAGATACTACCCAGTCCAATATAAACTGCCTTTGAAAAGTAATGAGATCCCCCAATTATATTTAGACTAACTTTACTTTGAAGTTTACTGCTGAAGTAGTCTATAAACATAATAGTGACTTGAATTTTATCTGTTCTCATGCTATTTTTTCAGAAACATCTCATCTTTATTTCTAACAAGTTTTTAAAGTCTATGTTTCAATTCTAATGTAAGACTGCAATACCAGGAATGTATTTCTGAGAATTTTTATAATCAATTATTTGAAAACATTTTAAAATAGTCACTATGGGGCCAGCTTTTTGGTGTAGTGGATAAAGTCATCACCTTCCATGCTGGCATCCCATATGGGCACCTGTTCATGTCCTGGCTGCTCCACTTCCAGTGCAGCTCCTGCTAATGGCCTGAGAACAGCAGACAAAGATGGTCCAAGTGTTTGGCCCCTGCCATCCACATGGGAGACCCAAATGAAACTCTTGGCTCCTAGCTTTGGCCTGGCTCAGCACTGGCCATTGTGGCCATCTGGGGAATGAACCAGTGGATGGAAGATTTCTCTCTCTGTGTCTCTCCCTCTCTCTTGGTAACTCAGACTTTTAAAATAAATAAACAAACAAATAAATAAATAAATAATTTTAAAATGCAGTCACTCTACCTACCACAATACAAGGGCCAAGGATCCATGATAGGTTTCTTTACTCACAGTGAATGCCTCCCATTCCTCTCCAGAGTATTTCCTTCACCACCAGTTCTGTACAATAACGGATTCCCAATGCTTTGGGTCAGTTAGCCTAAGGCTGCTTTTCAGGATGGGATAAAGGAAAATTTCCAGGCACAGGGGCTGCAGTAATGCAAAAATTCCTTTAGAGGTCCTCAGCCCCTTTGTCTGTAAGCTGTCTCTTCAATGAGTGCTCTTTTTATAATTCTACAGGAAAGAACCCCAGAATCGAGAATTCCAACAAGCCTAGAACATGTATCAGGTATTTCTTTCCAAAACGGAAGTGCTTTGTCTTTGACCGGCCCACAAGTGATAAAAATTTATTAATCTGTATAGAAGAAGTGCCAGAAGACCAACTGGAATTAAATTTCAAGGTGCAGTCAAAAAAATTCTGCTCTTACATCTTCACACATGGGAAGACCAAGACCCTGAGACAGGGAATCATTGTCACTGGAAATCGTGAGTTTCTTTTGTCTCAAAACATGTCTCCCTGTGGTTCAGTGTGTGTGATGAAGCTGTGATTCTTCTGTGGGCTTGTCAATCATTTCATTTGCTTCTGTATAAGAATATAGAGAAGGAGATGCTCCTACCACACCTACAAATGATGTTGTTTAGTTAAATTTTCCCCAAATGGTGGATTACCGAGGCTTCAATTATCTCATGAAACGAACCCAAGATCGATGGAAGCATAAAAATCTATTACAGAAGCAAATCTGCACGTGAGAAGTCCTATAGGATAAGAATTCCTTGGTGAAGAAGCAAAAAATTAATACCAGAAATTAATACCAATCAGAACATAAACAATAATCCGTGAGTCCAATGCAAACTCATCAAGAGTTTGAAAAACAAAAATTAAAACTAATCTTACATACTAGGCTGGCTTCATCGACATGTGACCAAGTCAGTCACACAGTCCTCATGCTATGATTATCAGGTCATGTTTGGTTCAATATGCTACAAGGTTGGATGCTAACTTCCGAGAATTTTTTTATCAAAGAATTAGCATTTTATTTGGAAGGAAGTCTTGCAAATTATGTAATTTCCTTTCCTAGTTTAATAAATTTTTATTTTATTAAAATGCAAAAGTACTTTTCTAGGAAATTCTAAATGATATTCCTTATAATCAAGTATTTAATTTTGAATTTTGGTGAATTTGAGAACCATAATAGAAAGGGTGAATAGCAATAACACACATGTTATTGTACAAGAAGGATTCACAGAACAAGATTAGAAAGGAAGAGTGCAAGGAAAAGAAGGAGTGGGAGAATTAGAAGAAAAGGGAGAAGGAGTAGGAGCAGCAGGAAGAAATAAAACTTCAAGATAAATAGAATTTTTGTGATTTTTTTTAGAATGCTGATTCTTAATTCCTGTGAAAGCAATGAAAGAGAACTATCTACTTACTTTCTAAACATTATGCGTTAATCAGGGCTGGGCCGTCTGGTGGAGATGTACGTAGATGCCATCAACAGCGGAGCCGTCCCTTGCTTGGAGAACGCAGTGACGACTCTGGCTGAGCGTGAGAATGCTGCAGCCGTGCAGAAGGCAGCCGAGCACTACCTGGCACTAGTGGCCCAGCGAGTGAGGTTCCCCACAGACACGCTCCAGGAGCTGCTGGACTTGCACGCAGCCTGTGAGAGGGAAGCCATTGAAATTTTCATGGAGCACTCCTTCAAGGATGATAACCAGAAATTCCAGAAGAAACTTGCGGTACATATCTTAGCGTTTATCCTTCCTCATCTGTCTTTTCTAGAAAGATATCTTATGACCTCATGATCATCTCCCAACCGTAGTAGAAGTTATCTGGATTCTTGAGACTAAAGGAGCTCTGTGGGCCTCCTTTACCCATTTTCTAAAGAAAGGACACTTTATCTTTTGGTACTACAAAATGAGTTCTCATGAGTTTAGTAGCTAAAAACAGCATGCATTACTGTCACACAGTCTGTAGGTGAGTCTTCCATATCAGGGTGTCTGTGTCCTCTGCTCATTGTAGACAGACTGGAAGGAGGTGTCCAATGAGCTTGGTCTGCAAATGAAGGCTTGGGGCAGGGGACCCCTCTATCTTTAAGCTAGGAATGTTGCATCAAATCCTTCTCCTGTTCCTAATTTCTCTGGTTTCCTTTTCTGACATCAGCTAAAGAGGCTGATGTCAGAAAAGGGCTTTTCAAGGGCTCATGTGACTGGATAGTAGGAGATAGAGTATTTTCCATTGTAAAGGCAACTTGTGCTGTATTATGTGATCTAATCAAGGAAAATACCCATCATGTTCTCAGGCTTAGGGACTATGCACAGGATGCACACCAAGAGGAGAAAAGTCTTATAGGAAATCATAATTCTGCTGACCATAGGCACCTTCATAGAAAATGTATCTATTCATCTGTCTAGGCCTGAACTCTATAAGCAACAAATATCTCTCAGTTTGTATTAAGGAAACCCAGATGGATTGCAACTTTCAAGGTCAAACAAAAAACTTGGTTCTTATGTATTCATAGTTTGAGCCATCATCAAAGGAATTCATAAAATTTTCATAAATTGGTTCAAAATATATTTAACCAATTAGATTCCATTTCCATGTATTCCTATATATTCATATTTCTGTCTGTAACAATCCATGTGCTCTGAGGACATTTTAATTTGAGCCAAGTAACAACTTTCTTTTGTTCAGTCTTGGTGACTAAGTCCCTGTGAATCATATTGTATAGTAAAGAACCCCAGAGCTCAGGTCTTCTGACCTGTGTTTTACGGTATGGAGACTGTCCCCTAGAGAATTAAGACTTTGCAAAGGTTAAACAGACAATGATCAGAAGTGGCACTGAAACAAGACTCCAGACTACTGGTCCACTCCATGTCCTCGTCCACTCTGTGGCCATCCTCGTGCTTCTCCCAGTAACAGTTTCTTTCTAATGTTTGTCCTTATGGTTCCCTGGCAGGAAACCATAGAGAAGATGAAGGAAGAGTTCCTGCTGCAGAATGAAGAGGCCTCTGTCAAATACTGCCAGGCTGAGCTTAAACGACTCTCAGCGTCCCTGATGGAAAGTATTTCAAGAGGGGTTTTCTCTGCGCCTGGAGGCCACCGTCTCTACTTAGAAGCAAGGAAAAAGGTTGAAGAGGAGTATGAGCTGGTGCCCAGGAAGGGAGTGAAGGTGAGGAATGGGGTGGTGGGTAGGGTGGGTCAGCATAATGGAGGCGGGGTCTTGGCTGCTCCTTCTGAAAGTGAGGACCACAGATTCATCTGAGGACAGAGAGCAGGGACTGTCAGTATCCATGGTTTGGATGTGCTTTGTCCTCCAGTGGTTGATGTGCTGGGGGCTTCATCTTCGGTGTGCCCATGTGAGAGGTGATGAGACCTTTGGGAGATGGGGCCTAGCGCGAGGTTCTTAGGTCTTTGAGGGCTGCCTTCAGAGGAGGTTAATTAAAGTAGTAGTTCTTGCGGGACACTGAGTTGGTTCTTGTGTGATCAAGTTGTTTTAAAAGCCAGGAAGGTCCCTGAATCACTCTCTGGCTTCCTATCTGGTAATATGATCTCTCCATTTTACGTGTTCCATTGGGATGCCATTCTCTGTGAGAACCTGAGCCATCTTGGCCAGAGCCATGTTCAAGCAGGTGTTGTGCCCTTGAACCTCCAGAGTGTGACTTAAACCTCTTATAAAGTAGCCCAAACTCAAAGATTTTGTTAGAATTATAGAAAACAGACTTATGACAGAATAATGCAGTAATATTTTGATGCTATAGGTTTCTTTATTCCATATATAATTAGATATTCCTAGATAAATTGTAAATAGTTTTCCTCAGAAGTGGATCTGGAATCATGCATCCAGGTGCGACAGTATTTATTTTATCTATCAAACAAAAGAATAGTTTTTGTTCTGGATACATAAAATGTTTCTCAGTATGCCTGTGATTTCACCTGAGGTGGACAAATTCTTAGTGATTTGGGTATTGTGAAAGATACAGCTGTCATACTGGTATGCACTGATAATAATAACGCTGATAATGGTGACCTTCATGGCTAACAGTCTGCACATTCACTCCTAATCCTGGGCATGGTTTCAGATTATTTTATTGAATACCAATTTAATTTTCAGAATACTTTAAATTAAGTACTAACGTATTTCCCATTATAGAATTGGGGAATGTGATGCACAGAGAAGCTACTGAGTTACCTTTAGAGAAACCCTTGGCTGGTAGCAGGGCTGACCAGGATGCTCCATGTATGTGATCATTAGAATCTCATTTGTTTCCTTTTGTGGGAGCTTCACATGGATCCCACCAACGGTTGTACAAGGGTTCACTTCTCTCAACATTCTTGCCAGCAGTTTTACAAATTGAATCATGGATTATAGCCATTGTTTTCAAGATTTATTTGTATTTGTTTGAATTGCAGAGTGATGGAGCGAGGTGGGGGGAGAGATCTTCTGTCCACTGCTTCACCCCCAAGGTGGCTGTAAACCCAGGGAGGTCCGTGCTGAAACTGGGAACCTCCATCCCAGTCTCCCATATGGGTGGCAGGGGCCCAGGCGCTGGGGCCATCTTCTGCTGCTTTCCCAGGCACTTTTTAAGGTAGCTGTATTGGAAGCAGAGCAGCTGGGACTTGCCCTGATAGGAGATGCCAAGGTTGCAAACGGCTCAACTGTGGCACAATGCTGGCCCCGAATAATAGCCATTCCTACAGGTGTGAACTGATATCTCATTATGGTTTGATTTTTATTTCCCAGATGATTAGTGACATTTAACATGTTTTTATATACTGGTTAGTCATTTGAATGTCTCCTTTTAAGAAATATCTATAAAAACTACTTTGTCCATTTTAAATTCAGATAATTTTTTCCTTATTTATTTTGTGTGACTTATTATATAAGCTGAATACTAACCTCTTATGAAATATATGGTTTGCCAATGTGGTCTCTCATTCTGTATGTGGCCTTTTAATTTTGCTGATTGCTTCTTTAGATGAGCAGAAACTTTCTAGTTTAACATAGCCTGGTTGTTTCTTTTGTTTTTCTGCTTGTGCTTTTAGTATCAAAGCCAAAAAATCATTGTCAAGGCTAATGTCATAGATCTATTCCCTTATCTTTTCTTCTAAGAATTATACACTTTCAGGTCATTAATATTTAGTTGATTTTTGCACATGATGTCGAATTAGGGGTCAATCTCATTCTTTTGTGTATCCAGGTTTCCCAGCACCATTTCTTGAAGAGAATATTTTTCCTTGATGTGTCTTCCTGAACATTATTCAAGCTATTTGATCATAAAAACATGGGCTTTTTTTCTTGACTCTCTATTTGTTCCACTAGTCTATGTATATGTTTTAATACCAATATCAAAACTACCCTTGGGGGCCAGTGCTGTGGCTCACTTGGTTAATCCTCTGCCTGCGGTGCCAGCATCCCATATGGGCACCGGGTTCTAGTCCTGGTTGCTCCCATTCCAGTCCAGCTCTCTGCTGTAGCCTGGGAATGCAGAGGAGGATGGCCCAGGTGCTCGGGCCCCTGCACCCACATGGGAGACCAGGAAGAAGCACCTGGCTCCTGGCTTTGGATCAGCACAGTGCTGGCCGTGGCGGCCATTTGGGGGGTGAACCAACAGAAGGAAGACCTTTCTCTCTCTCTCTCTGTCCAACTCTGTCAAATAAATAATAATAAAAAAAAATAAAAAAACAAACAAACAAAAACCACCCTAGCTTTGCTGTAGACCTGAGATTCTGTAGCAGGATTTGTGTACTGAGGCAAGACAGGAAGGCCTCTTAACTGGAAGTAGTCTTTTATTATGACAGCATAAAGCACAGGTGGAATTCCTTATTCAAGATCCTGAGCCCAGAACAAAGAGTTTTTCCCAATATTTGGTCTTAGCCTCTCTTTCTCCCTTATATGGTTACATGTACACATTTGATTGGATATTCTAGTGTATTAGCCTCAGGACTGATGCAGTACTGCACATAGGAACATAGTAACTGAAGATATGTATTTTTACACACAGTCTGAGCCATCTGCTGTCTGGCAAGAGTTAACATCATTGCTCTGTAGGAACAAGCAGAACCTGACTGGTTACATGGAAGCAGACAGGGCCTGCAGCTGAAGCTTTCACAGGCAAGCAGATAACAGCCACATTCCACTCCCAGGACAGAAGCCTCCCTTTTCCTATTTCTGCCCTTGGGAAGGTTTCTACCACAGCTTGAATCTTGTCAGTTAGAAACACGTCTAGTGGAAAGACAGAGGCCTCTGGCACAATTCCGGAAGTGCGGTATCTGCAGCGTTGTTTTTGTGGTTCGTGGCTGTTTCAGCTGCTCCGTATACATTTTTTTTTTTTTTCCGTAAAAGCTGTCATTGTCACTTTGATAGAAATTGCACTGAAGCTGTGTGGCACTTTCAGTGGCACGAGCGTTTTACAGCATTAATTCCTCTAAGCAATGAATTTTAGAAATAGCTCCATTTGTTTCATCTCTCTAATTTCTTTTCATCACTGAGTTAATCTTACAGAGCATAGATTTTCACGTCCTTGGTAAATTTATTCTTAAGGATTTTATTTTTTGATGCTATTGTAAGTAGGATTGTTTCCTTGATTTCTTTTTCAAATCCTTAGCAGTTAGTGCTGTGGATTATTTTATGTTGATTTTATATCCTACATATTCATCAAAAATTTTTTATTAGTTTTAATAGCTTTATTTAGTTTTAATAGCTTTTAGTGGTCTTATATTTCCAAAAGTAATAAAAACAGCAACTTGAAGAGCTATTTATATTCTTATGTCCAATACAGCATCATTCACAACAACCAAGACAGGGAAACAGCCTAACCTCTCAGCAGTGGATGAAGAGATGGAGGAACTATTATGTATGTTTACACACATGCTAACACATACCTTTATAGGAGTTCTATGCAGTTTTAAAAAGAGAGAAATCCTGACAATGTGAATGAACATGGGGAATATTATGCTAATGAAATAGGCAGACAAAAAAACAAATGCTACATGACTTAGTTTTTTTTTTTTTTTTTTTTTGACTGGCAGAGTTAGACAGAGAGACAGTGAGACAGAGAGAAAGGTCTTCCTTCCGTTGATTCACCCCTCAAATGGCCGCCACGGCCGGTGTGCTGCGCTGAGCCCAAGCCAGGAGCCAGGTGCTTCTTCCTGGTCTCCTATGCGGGTGCAGGGCCCAAGCACTTGGGACATCCTCCACTGCACTCCCGGGCCACAGCAGAGAGCTGGACTGGAAGAGGAGCAACCGGGACAGAATCCAGCACCCCAACCAGGACTAGAACCCTGGGTGCCGGCACTACAGGCAGAGGATTAGCCAAGTGAGCCAGGGCGCCGGCCAGCTTTTTTTTTTTTTTTTTTAAGATTTACTTATTTATTTGAGAGTCAGAGTTACACAGAGAGGAGAGGCAGAGAGAGAGGTCTTACATCTGATGGTTCACTCCCCAGTTGGTCTCAATGGCTGGAGCTGCACTGAGCCAAAGCCAGGAGCCAGGAGCTTCTTCCAGGTCTCCCATGCAGGTGCAGGGGCCAAGGACTTGGGCCATCTTCTGCTGCTTTCCCAGGCCATAGCAGAGAGCTGGATCAGAAGAGGAGCAGCAGGGACTAGAGCCAGCACCCATATGGTATGCCGGTGCTTCAGGCCAGGGCTTTAACCCTGATTTTTTTTAACCTCATGATTTTCTTTTATACTCAAGAAAAAAGAGAGGTTGGGCTCATATTAACAGAGAGCAAAGGGAATGTTATCATTTCGGTCGACAATTACAAACATTCATCTATGAGATGAATAAGTTCTGTATATCTACAGTACATGAGGGTGATAGCAGTTAAACTGGCATATTATACACTTGCAATTTGCTAAGAGAGATCTCAAGTATACTCACCTCATAAAAACAAAAGGTATATGAGGTTATAGATATTAATTAGCCTAATATAAAGAACCTCATGATGCATGCACACATACATCAAAACATCCTTTGTTTATATCTTAAACATACACAGTTGTTATTTGTCCATTATACCACAATACAACCTCAGAGAAAAACCTCAGAAGGCAGCTTAGAAAATCTTCCTGTTGGAGGAGGTAAGAATCATATATTGAAGTATCCATGGATGTTATCCTAGATAAGAAAGGGTAGAAGAGCATCCAGGCAGAGGAAAACCAATGTGCAAATCTTGCAAGCCAAGTGGACACGTGTCTGTAAACTGCACGTAAATCTCGTTGGCTCTGGCCTCGGAGTGGGGCTGGGGGTGGTGGGCAGCATTGCTGGGAATGGAGACTGCAGAGCCAGGAAGAAAGTTGCCCTAGAGGAAGTTCTTGCCTCACCAAAGAGCTTGGAGTTTCTGCTATGACCGATGAAGATGCAGGATTCACAGGGTCAGATTTGTACTTTTATTAACAATAATTTCCACATCAGAAGACTTAGATACTTGCTGTCTAAAGTATTTTTACTCCTTGTTTCTCCAGGCAACTGAGGTGCTCCAGAGGTTCCTGGAGTCTCAGGCAGCAGCAGAGAACTCCATCCTGCAGGCAGACAAAGCTCTCTCTGATGGAGAGAAGGCCCTAGCAGGTACGGGGCCGGGCTCAGCTCACAGGACGGTGGGGCGGGGCGGGGAGATTCCTATGATGCCCTCTTATAGATTGGACAGGGTGGTTTTTCTGAAGCAAGAGGCTTCCTCTGACTGTGGAGCATGTACTCCGCTAGACTTGAACATAACAAGGGCTGTTGGGCTGCACACCAAGCCTGTCAGTGCCTTTCTGGCACATTCTGAAACACGCTCTTGCTGTTTCAGGGGAAATAGCATTGCTGTCAAAGCTGCCTGGTCTTGAACTCAACGGTTTTTCTTCCCTTGTTAATGCTTTGTGAAACAGCTGAGGAGGCCAAGAGGGAGGCCGCTGAGAAGGAACGGGAAGTGCTAAGACAGAGGGAGCAGGAGATGCAGCAAAAGATAGAGGCTCAAGAGAGAAGCTTCCAGGAGAACATCGCTCAACTGAAGGAGAAGATGGAGCGGGAAAGGGAGGACCTCCTCAGAGAGCAGGAGAGGATGCTGGAGCACAAGCTGAAGGTGAGTCTCGGGGCTGGGCGGTGCCCCGGGGGACAGTGTTCTGGATCCTGGGAAGGGCGGGACCCAATGTCAAGCACAGGTGTCATCCCAGAGGGAACCTAAAAGACAATTGTCCCACTGCAACCTCAAATACACCTGGGTCCCCCTGAAGCATGGAAATCTAGGAGACTCCAGCCACTTCTGGAGTGTTGTACTTTGGAGGCACAAATGACATTCTCCTGGGTTTGGGGCCGGTAAGAGATGCTCTCCTTCAGCCCCATTTCTAGGGGATCTTAGTCCACTAGTGGTTAAGATTTCTGCAGAACTCTCAAAGAGACTTAAAACAAATATAGCTGGTCTGAAAGGCTCAGACTTGACCTGATAAGAGAACACTGAAAGCTGTGAATCTGCTCCATTTGTTTTGGACCTGCTGGATTCCTCCTGCACGATTAGAGTGTCATACATTCTTTGTCCCAGCGTGGCGCTCGGTCAGTACCAGCAACTCCTGCTATGTGCCAGATGAGCTCAGCTGTGCCACCTCAGTGGAAATGGGAGTTAATTAGAATTTAACCCACATTCCTTCCCAATGGGCTTTCTATGGGCTGTAACACAATCCCACCACCCTAGGGAAAATGGTGGTAAGAAAATTTCACAAAATATAACCATGGATTTTCCCACTATTCAAGCCAAAACTTCTGGGTATATTGGACAAATTCCTCTAAAAATACTCTAACATAGTAGAAAAATAGATGTACATGCTTAACTGCTGACATCATGAAATACAAATATTAACTTCTAATAACAGGGATTTTGAAGTGTGGATTCTTTCCATTTTATAGGTCCAAGAAGAAATGCTTACAGAAGGATTTAGAAAAAATGCTGAGGAGTTAAATAACCAGATAAGAGAGCTAAATAAAGAAATTGAAGCAACTAAAAACCGAGGATCCTCATGGTTTACAGGTTTCCTTGATGCGTTGGGTACCATATTCACCCTGGTACTACCTGGGCCTGCTAAGTTATTTGGTTTGCCTTTGAAATTTCTTGGTTCAAAATCTAAAGACTGATTTTTCTGGGAATGAAAATATAAAATTGGACTTCTTTTGTTTTAATAGCCTAATAATGTTGTTCATTTAAAAATTGTCATAGTAGTTTCTTTCAAGGAAATTTAAAAATGAAATGCAGTTTTTAAAGAATATCAGGTATTGGAGTCCACAGAAGACCAAACTGAATTTTTATTGAATTAATTATTGTGAAGAAATGGGAACAAAATTTGAAATTATTCATAAAAATAATTTGAGTGAAGCCAAAAGCCATGGCAAGATGAAGAAAAGATGTGCAATTTGTATTACACATTAGAGAGGTTATTTAAGTTGTGATGAGTCCTTGTACATCAGCGAGAGTAGAGCTACAACCACATTTTTGTTTAAATAGCTGAAATTGTGAAAAATTTGAAACTAGATGACAATAAAAGGTGTGCAAAGTAAAATTGTGTGGTGTGCCTTTTACCTCTAGGAAGGGCAAGAAAAAAATATCTGACAGCAGTTAACAAGGAAGGGTTTTGGGAAATATGAGAGTCACATATTTCTTAATGTGAATGTCAATAGTCATAATTATACATCAAAAAGTAAAATGTATGTACTTGAATTACCAATTGCACATTTGAGAATTTCTCTTAAAGATCTGTATACCAAGCTGAAGTGGCATATGTAATAGTCTGTTGGTTGCAGTGTCATTGTAATGCCAAAGCACTTTCTGACTACTCTGAGAGGACTTTAATGTCTCTGTTGTATAATAAAAAGTTAAATCCTGTATATTCTTTCAAAGGGATACTCTACTGTCACTAAAATGAAAGGGGGAATAAATAAAAACAATAAAAAAGAGAGAATGTGCATTTGGTGTGGCAGTTCAGCGGCTGCTTGACACACTCATTCCACATTTGCTCCTGATTCAAGCTTCTTGCTCCTGTGTACCCCCAGACGAAACAGGTGATGGCTTATGCAGTGGGGTCCTTGAAGTGCTAGGCTGAGTTCCAGGCCCTGCATTTGGACTAGCAGAGCCCCAGCTACTGTAGGAATGTGGGGAGTGGACAAGAAGATGGGAGAGTTACCACCCTTCTTGTCTGTCTCTCTGTCTGTGTCTGTCTCTGTCTTTCTCTCTGCACTTTCAAATCAATAAATGAAGAGGGTTTAAAAAATTAAAAAGCAAGCAATAATAAAAGAATATGCTAAGTCTATTTGGACTTAAATAAGAACTCTTTAAGATTGTCTAAGTGAAAAAATGATAGGAAAAGTGGATATATTTGTATGACTGAATTTCAGAGTATAATGTTTATGTGAATATTTTATTGTCTATTCCTGGAGAAATGTAACATAAATTCATATCCATGGACATAACCTGAAGGGGAAGGAAAGGTTGAGGTGAGGAGATGGAGAGAGAGGTCTTGTATCTGCTGGTTCACGCCCCAAGTGGCTGCAACGTCCAGGGTCAGGCCAGGCTGAAGCCAGGAGCCAGGAGCTTCTTTAGGATCTCCCATATGGGTGCAGGAGCCCAAGCATGTGGGCCATCTTCTACTGCTTTCTCAGGCTATAAGCAGAGAGCTGGATTGGAAGAGGAGCAGCTGGGATACAAACCAGCACCTATATGGAATGCTGGTGCTGCAGGCAGAAGCTTATCCTACTACCCACCATGCCAGCCTCTCTATCTTTTGAGAATTTAGGCTCTTTACATTCAAGGTTACTATTGATAAATAAAAACTTGGCCCTGCCATTTTCCCATAAATTTGCTATTGTTCGCTTTGGATTCCCTTTGTAGTTTATAATAGGAAATTTTTTGTTTTCACATTCTTTCATAGTATTGAATAATGTTTCTGTGTATAGCCCATCCTTAAGCATCATTTGTAAGGCTGGATGAGTAGTGACAAACTCTTTCAATTTCTGTTTATTTTGGAAGGTTTTTATTTCACCTTCATTTGTAAAAGATTATGTCTCTTCATGGTCTCCAAGCCTGTAGGAATTCTGATGGAAAATCAGCTTAGAGTCTAACTGGAGATCCTCTGAAGATAAGCTGATATTTCTGTTGTGCACATTACGGGATCTTTTCTTTATGTTTTACTATTGAAAATTGGACTACCATGTGTCTTGGTGAAGATCTTTTCTGGTCATGTCTATTAGGAGTTCTATGTGCTTCCTGCACTTGTATGTCTCTTTCTTTCCCCAGATTAGGAAAATTTTCTGTTTTCTTATGTGGCAACAACAAAACATTCTTTGTCTAGCTCTTAGTGGGCAATAGCTGAATCCCTGGGGTCTTGAAATGCAATAAAATCAAAACCAAGGAGGGTTTCTTGCAACCCAAACACTTTGGAGTAGCCCATAATATCCAAGGCCCATTCCAATTCAGTCTTATTGCCATTGTTATGAAGATTACCTCCATAAACCTTACATCAATGGATAGGTATCACAATGTATTTTGAGATCTTAGATTCGAAATGTGGAGACTCAACTCCACAGTCTCCAACACATCATGGCACTCTCTTGCAGCCCAGCTCCCATCAACATTCTTACCTGGCATCCACAAAAGGGCCACATTTTGATAACTTACTCTGAAAAACAGGAGTTAAACAGGAGAAAAAGTTTATAAGTTTACTCTGATTGTATGTATGGTGGGACTCATAAGATACAAGACTCAAAGAGAGGTAAGATCCTTGGGTTTTAAAAAGCATTTTGAGTACTGGGCCAAAGAGAGCCTTGTAGTTTCTGGTAGGTGGTCTGATAGCACCAGGGGAAGTCCTGCAGAGGAACTGCATGAGGAACAAAATCTGTCTTAGGCAGAGACGGTCTCAGGTAGCAGTCTTCAGAAAAGGCATGTATTTAGTGAAAATAGGCAAAGATTTTCAGTCTCCTTTTCTACGACATAGTCTTCCTTGTTTGCTTAGAGAATTGGCAGTCAATTCTTAACAATATCATTTCCTTTGGAAGATAGTCCCTTATTCAGAAAGGGAACTTCAGGCATGAGGCACCTGATAAAGGGGGCAAGAAGTTATAGAGACCTTGGACTTGCTGTGCCAATTTTGGTTCTTAGTATCTCAAAGTACTAATTTTGAATAGCATTTTTAGGATCCCAATATTTATGTGTCTGAAATTCCCCAAGATGTTTTCATACTACACATTGAGTTGGTAGCTGTGGAGGGAAGAGTCAGGTTAGTTGCTGAGTGACAAAGGAGCCATTATACCAGTCTCCCATTCCTAGTAACAGGCAGTCCAATTGAATAGTTGTGTTTCATGTCACAGAGATGGTGTTCCAAGTATGCCCCCACTAAAATTAGACCTTTATATGGTACCAGAAAGCGAATCTTAACAAAGAATTTCTGTTATACAATAACTCTTAAGAGTGGTTGGAGGAATTGTTATAAACCAGGTCCACTTACATGGTAACAGAAATCCAATCACAATGTCAGGATGGTGGAAGAAAGTAGGGCTTAATTTTGCAATATTCAGACAGGGAGTCAGGTAGTTATCACTGAGTTCCCAGATTTTCTTAAGAATTAAAGATGAGGAATCTTACAGTTGAGATTGCATAGCATGAAATCAGCTCATGTGCAGGTCTCTGGTTGGTTAACAGAAATCGTGGTCTTCCCTTGATCTGTCAGCAATAGGATGGAACATTGTTCCGAAAATCTAAGATGGCAAAGTGGGCTCCACCCCTTCTTGACTCATTGGTAGATTGGTTATTATTTATTTGATCAGGCTTAAAGTTCCTAATATCATATTTCAGGATGTTGGTTACAAAGGTGATTATTGAAATCTGAGTCTTTTTTTTTTTTAATTTTACTGGGGCCAGCACTGTTGCATAGCGGGTTAAGCTGCCATCTTCAGTGCCGGCATCTCATATGAGCATTTGGATCCTACCTGCTCCATTTCCAATCCTGCTTCCTACTGATGTGCCTGGGAAAGCAGGGGATGATGGTCCAAGTGCTTGGGCTCCTGTATCCACATAGCAAGACCTGGTAGAAGCTCCTGGCTCCTGGCTTCGGCCTGGCTCAGCCCTGGCTGTTGCAGACATTTAGGGGGTGAACCAGTAATGGAAGATCTCTCTCTCTCTCTCTCTCTGCTTGTATCTCTGCCTTTCAAATAAGTAAATAAATAAATCTTTTGAAATTTATTTTATTTAAAAGCCAGAGTACAGAGAGTGATAGGAGAGAGATCCGACTCACTCCTCAGATTTATGTAACTGCTGGTGCTGAGCCAGGTTGAAGCCAGGATCCAAGAGCTCCATCTGGGTCTCCCACATGAGTGTAGGAGCCCAAGCACTTGGATAATCTTTGCTGCTTTCCCAGGCATATTATCAGAGAGGTAGACTGGAACTTAAGCAGCTGGGACTAAAACCAGCACCCAAATGGGATGGTGGCATCACAATCTATTGCTTAACTCATCACACCTCAGTGCTGGCCCTGAAATCCAAGTCTTTACATCCAGATTCCTGTGCCAGGCCTGACTCTGTGTCTTAATTTAGTGGATTAATCTTTAGCGAGGATTTGAGTTGGCATGATCACAGTGAAGACAGAGGAGCTGCAGTTTTAAGGAGAGCGAATGGGATCTGATCAAACCTACATCAAAGAAATCTTCCATCTGCTGGTTCATACCCAGATGGCTGAAACTGCCAAAGCTGAGTCAGGCCAAAGCCAGGAACCAAGAATTTCATCTGGGTCTCCCACAGGGGGGCAGGGGTGCAAATATTCAGGTTCAGGATTAGAAGTGGAGAAGCTGGGATGGTGGACATTGCAAGTGATGGCTTTACCAGCTATGCCACAATGCCAGCACTGGTACGGCAACTCTTCTGGTGTTTTTTTCATAAGTCTTTATCATGTCAAACAGCTTCAGCTTGCAGGGTTTCAGAAAACATCCATTTTATGTGTGTTCTTTTATTGTGTGTATGATGCAACATCAGAAACTTGGGACAAAATTGGCAATGTTAGTTGAGAGACTTTTTTTTTAAGATTTATTTATTGGAAAGGCAGATTTACACAGAGCCAGAGGCTGAGGCAGAGAGAGTCTTCCATTTGCTGGTTCACACCCCAGATGGCCACAACAGCCGAGGCCATGTTGATTCGAAGCCAGGAGCTTCTTCCATGCCTCTCACACTGGCACAGGGCCCCAAGGACTTGACAATCTTCTACTGTTTTCCCAGGCCATAGCAGAGATCTGGATCCGAAGTGGAGCAGCTGGGACTAGAACTGGCGCCCATATGGGATGTGGGCACCGCAGGCAGTGGCTTTACTGGTTACATCACAGCACTGTCCCTAGTTGTCAGACTTATAGTCAGTTATTGGAGGAAACTAAAGGAACTCAGGATTCAATCCAGATTGTATATAAATAATGAAATCTCAAAAACAATTAGCTAGAATCTAACAATGGCTATACAGTGCTTCCCTTCTGAAACATCCTCTGTCTCAATTTATCAATTCTAGCAAAGATAATCACACCATGTCCAATTTACTTGCAAAATAAATTTAATGTCATTAAACTTAACCTGATCAATTATATAAGAACAGTAAGAATGGCAGTTGGTCATCTAGATTC